AGCGGTGAGAGGGCAAACAAGAGATGTTGCAATCTATTTTTCCATGTGTCAAAACCTCAGGGTTCGCAAGTGCATAACACTGAGTTCACTATGGATTCTCCGCCAATGAAGCGCGGTGTCAAACGAAGACGAAGAGGCCAGCAGCAGCGGATAGCCAATCAACGAGAGGCTATGGTGAAGGAATCTGCTGCGCATGCACTCTTGATGGCATTGATTGCCCAGGGAATCATGAGTGGCGTATTGGCGCATAAAATAGCGGTTGCTTGCAAGACAGATCTGGAGGCATGCAAAGAAGGGTTTACTTTTCCAGAATTGTACAAGTTGGCAAATCTTCAACAAGGCCGCAATCTCATTAGAAGTGTGCATACAGCATTGGCAAAAAGCACAATGGTCCCTGAGCCAATGAAAGTGCCAATGCCATATACAACTGGCATTGGCGAAGCTCATTTCTTACTTCCGCATGAATACTTCGCGTGTATGTATGAAGATTCTCAGCAATGGAAAAGCAAAATTCTTCCACAAGAGGAACAGTTAGAGGCTTTCTGGAATGCGTTTGAGCACCACCCCACTCTGACTGGGCATCCCATTAAGAAAAAACAGCATTGGAAGCGAACTGTGCTGCCTTTACTGTTGCACGGCGACGAAGTCCCCGTGACGGGAATTGGGAAGGTCTGGTCTCGATCAGTGTTGTCCTTTTCCTGGATGTCGATGCTGTGCAGCGCATTAGGCGGCAAAGGCAAAGACCTGACCTTTTACATCACTGGCGTGTTCGAGAAATTTGCGACACCGTCCACGGAGCATTGTCTGGGTACAATGGGCACGATGTGGTCCGTCATGTTGTGGACTTTTCAAGCACTCTGGGATGGCGTTTGGCCATCTACAGACTGGCGTGGCATTGCCTTTCCCGCGGACACTGTGCAAGGCCGACGAGCAGGGCAGCGTTTGGCAGGCAAGTACAGCGCGTGCCTGCTGCAGCTCTGCGGCGACCTGGATTACAACGCCAAGTGGCTGGGGACGCCGAATTGGTCGATACACAGTGGACCTTGCGTTCAGTGCCGGACAACGTTTGCAGGCATCAATAGCTGGCAAGACAACCGCCAAACCAGCGGCTGGCAGCGCACATTGCTCAGCGCTGCCTCTTGGAGGTCACAATGGACAACCAAGTGTCTACTGTTCGGCTTACCTGGAATGAATTGTTGGAGCATTGCATATGACCTTATGCACAATCTCTATTTAGGCTGGCTTCAGCATTTTTTCGGTTCAGCGTTCTATCTCTTGACGCACGAGTGTTTACACGAGGAACCGTTGTCTAATTTGAAGGTTGTAGAGGAAACAATCGGAGCAATTCAAAGGAGAGATCCCACTCGGGCCAGATACCGTCAACGTCTTTCGAAGTTGTCCATGTTCATGAAAAGCTCCGGATTTCCAAAGTTGAAAGGGCGTGCCGCAGACATCAGAGGCCTCGATTGGGCATTGTTAAATACCTGGCAGCAGTTCATGGACGTGGCTGTTGAACAGCATCTCTGGGTCGAAGCTTTCTTGAAGCTCACAGTGGAAATCAATGAACTCATGAACACTTTCTCGCCTCGGTCTGGATGCATGTCCATCCCAGAACCTCATTGTTCTGTATTGTTTCAGAAGGCATGCCCAATGGCACAAGTGCATGTCCTGTTGAGCGAGCACTATGCTGCCACAGGTGTGCAGATCTTCAATTGCACCACCAAGATGCATTTTACATTGCACACGTTAGAATTGTCGAAACATTGCCATCCGTACTTGACCTGGTGTTTCAAAGGCGAGGCCAACATGAAGGCTGTACAGCAGCTCTGGAAATCGTGCGTGTCCGGCAACAAACATTTTGCAGTTGATCGGGTCGCGGCCATTAAGCAAAGACATTTGGTTGCAATCAACACTGGCCTTTAGACCAGGTGGTCCAGCTGGAGCTCAATAATTTTGTGGTCGTGCGCAACAAGTTCACAGGGCTGAGCATTGCGATCCTCGGCCCTGACTTGATGGAGTAGACTCGGAGAGGAGGAGGAAACTTGCGTTTGCTTTGAGCCGTCGGCTCATGCGTTTTACTTGAGCATGTTCGTTACTTCAGCATTACTTGGAGTGGATATACTTCAGCATTGCTGGACATTGACTTGAGGATTTACTTGCGCAATTACTGGCACAGTTTTACGTGAGGATTTGATGGAGCAGTTTTACTTGAGCATTTACTTTACAAGATGTACACGATTCTACTTTACCAGATTTACAACATTCTTTCTAACCTTTCTAAGTGCTTAATGCTTGATTTGGTCAGCGTCAACAACATTTGATTTCATAACATTTTTTGCAGTTCATGTCAGAAAATATGTGCGAAATCACTTTTAGGACATTAGCTCACACGGAGGAATTCTACGGTGTTTTCGAAAACGCATCAAAAGTGTATACGTTTTTGTTGTTTTCAACCCTGTGTCCTTCAAATTAAGTTTTTCAATAAAAACACGAAAAAAATACGTAATTTCTTCGGCTTTGGTAATTTTACTAAATTAGTAATTTTACTAATCTTCGAGACTCAGGGTGCGGAGATCGTGCGTGTCAAGTGCGCGAAATGCAGGCGAGACTGCGATTTGTCCGGTGCGCGCGCAACCCTCTGCGGAGATCGCGCGCGTCGAGTGCGCAAAATGCAGGCGAGAGTGCGATTGGGTCTGCGCGCGCGCAACCCTCTGCGGAGATCGTGCGTGTCGAGTGTGCGAAATGCAGGCGAGAGTGCGATTGGGTTTGCGCGCGCAACCCTCTGCGGAGATCAAGCGAGTCGAGTGCGCGAAATGCAGGCGAGAGTGCGATTTGTCCGGTGTGCGCGCAACCCTCTGCGGAGATCGTGCGAGTCGAGTGCGCGAAATGCAGGCGAGACTGCGATTTGTCCGGTGTGCGCGCAACCCTCTGCGGAGATCGTGCGTGTCGAGTGCGCGAAATGCAGGCACTGGCGACTTTCTAGTACTACTTTAGTACGCGAAGTATCTGGGGAGCTGGAAGATGAGAACTGGCGACTTTGTAGTACAACTTTAGTACGCGGAGTATCTGGGGAGCTGGAAGATGAGAACTGGCGACTTTGTAGTCCAACTTTAGTACGCGGAGCAATCTGTGGAGCTGGAAGCTGAGAACTGGCGACTTCGTAGTACAACTTTAGTGCGCGGAGTATCTGGGGAGTCGCTGGAAGATGAGAACTGGCGACTTTGTAGTCTTTAGTACGCGGAGTATCTGGGGAGCTGGAAGATGGGAACTTGAGAACTTTAGTACGCGGAGTATCTGGCAAGCTGGAAGATCAGAACTGGCGAAGTTGTAGTACAACTTGAGCGCGCGGAGTCTCTGGGGAGCTGGAAGATGAGAACTGGCGACATTCTAGTACAACTTTAGTACGCGGAGCAATCTGTGGAGCTGGAAGCTGAGAACTGGCGACTTTGTAGTGCAACTTTAGTACGCGGAGCATCTGGAGAGCTGGAAGATGAGAACTGGCGACTTCGTAGTACAACTTTAGTACGCGGAGTATCTGGGGAGCTGGAAGATGAGAATTGGCGACTTTGTAGTACAACTTTAGTACGCGGAGCAATCTGTGGAGCTGGAAGCTGAGAACTGGAGACTTTGTAGTACAACTTTAGTACGCGGAGAATCTGGGGAGCTGGAAGATGAGAACTGGCGACTTTGTAGTACAACTTTAGTACGCGGATGAGTCATCTCTCGCGGCTGAGCCATCTCTTGCGGCTGCTCTGGCGCCCCTGCAGCTGAGTCATGTCTCCCGACGACCCGGCTCTCTTGAGAGGTTGACACACACACACAGAGACCCACGCACTGCCTCAACTTACTCGGACACACACACAGACAGAGACTCATACACACACACAGACATAGATACACACACACAGAGACCCACACACTGCCTCAACTCACTCGACTTAACACTTCACACTGAACACTTAACAGAAAACTCACACTCTGACTTCCTACGTGATGAAAAATGCTTTCGGGCCACTCGTCGTCTAGTCTTTAAAGTGATTTCTTTACTTTTGTCTCTCAGGTTCGCTGCCTGCACTGCTGGTGTCCGCCCTTTTCCGCTGGCCATGCAGCATTTCTATTCATTTGTTTCCCATGTGGTTTGTTTACTTTTGTTTCCAGGTTCGGTGCCTGCACTGCTGGCATTCATATTTGTCTCCCAGGTGATTTCTGCACTTCCCCATACAGGTTACTGTTAGGGGTTCTAAGTGCTTTCCAAAAGTGTCCGCCTTGCTGCCGGACAGCGTGTCCGCCTTCCGTCTGGCTTGTCTCCCTTAGTCTGCGTTCTTGTTGGTCACTGTGTCCCCCTTCTTGTTGGTCACTGTGTCCGCCTTGTCTCCCTTCATTCTTTGTTTGTCTCCGGTCTTGTCTCCCTTCTTGTGGGTCATTGTGTCCGTCTTGTCTCCCTTCTGTTTCCTTTTGTCTCCCTTCTTGTCTCCCTTCTTGTTGATCATTGTGTCCGTCTTGTCTCCCTTCTGTTATCTTTTGTCTCCTTTTTGTCTCCCTCTTGTTGGTCATTGTGTCCGCCTCGTCCCCTCTGTCTCTCTTTGTCTCCGGTCGCTGCATGTCGCTTGCAATCCTTTACATTTGTCTCCCTCTGTGTCTACACGTGTCTCCCAGCCCTGGACTGCTGTGGCCGCCTCTGCCTTGCAATCCTTGTCTCCCAGCTCTGGACGTCGCAAGCTCTAGTTGCAGAGTGTTCCGATTTTGAAAACACAAACTGTTTGGGGTCTGCGGTGGTGTAGTTTTGAGGTTGTGTAGGCTCGGGTTAACTGGGGGGGGGTTCTGGCGCCCAACTAGACAATTAGAGGGAAATCAACCACCAATACTACTTTTAATTTGGGCAATTTCCGGGGGCTTGTGGGCTCGGATCAACGAGAGGGGGGTTATTAATACTGACTTAACATTAACTTCAGAAAAACATTTACCTCTTCGAATGTGTGCAATACACCCAAATTGCTGGCCTGATGGTCTCCATTGGTGCATCGCAATTTAGTGATCCGGATTCATCTGCGCGCATGTCACAGTCAGTGGACCAAGCCGTATACCAATGCTGATCTGCCACAACCCAGCTGAGGCGTTCCAGCTCAGAGAATGTTCGGAAAAACCAAGGTACCACCGTGCCAGTAAAGTTCTTGAAGGCGGTGTCAATCATCTGCACATACAACTTCTTCCCCTGCTTCGGCAGGCTGGACACACGGAAAACCTGTGCAGCCTCTGCCAACCAGCGCAAGATATCCTCTTCGGCCGCAAACTGCTCTTGAGAGTTCAGGTGTGCAGGCTCATTCATCAGTGTAATCCCCACCAAACCTCAATTTGATCACAAAACCCTTGGCCTGCCAGAGTGTCATATTCGAGGTGAGGGTGGACAAACAGTGCTTGTTGATGTATAGATTGTAGATATCATGGAAAAATATCCTTGTCTTGTTCAATGCCCCAACATGGGATTCCAGGGTCATTCTTTCAACTCAGTCCACTACTACGTCCTTTTCCTTTTGGACAAAGCAAAGAAACAACTACAATACTCAAGAATGACTTGTGAAGAAAGGGCATGGACCCACATTTCTCTAGAATTCCCTATGCCTGTTAAATTGCTGTCGGCTGTTGCCATTTCAGATGGTACTGCGTATAGAGGTGAATCTAGAGCACAAAGGTGGCTTATGGTGGCTTCATGTTGCCCACAGGAAGTGCCAAACATGGGTCCGTCAAGGCGTCAACCCACCTCTGGCCTCTGTGCACTATCTCAACTTCAGACCCCACAACCGGAAGTAGGAACCCTTGCGTATGTTGGGTTTCTTCCCCTGTTCCCATGCCCAGGTTTATGCAGGTGCTCAACAGCGTTTGTATGCCTCTTTTGTGGCACATTGCCCCATTGCAGCAAATTCGATTAATAGTGATGGCCGCCAACCTAAGAGCGGCGATGGCCTGCAACCTAAGAGCGATGGGGAAACAGTGGTCCTAGGAACGACTGTAAAAAAGCTGGAGTGAGTTGATGCTGAAAACGCCGGCCAGAACCCTCAGAAATACATGGACCATTCCAAGGGGGGCCCACTGCACTTACGACCACTAAAGAAAAAGAGAGTCTAAGCGTCAAAAGAAAGCAAACAGACAGGAAAACACAAGGTCGAAAGAGTCGAAAAAATAGATCTGTAAACTACCTCACAACGGAACATTAAACCAAATACAAAGTGCTTCTCACCCTGATCCTTGCCAAGCGACCCTCCTTCGCTTCGTCGCTAAGATGCTCTAGCCATCCCACTGCGGCACCAATGATCCATAAGCCCACCTTTCTGCGTTTTCCTTTTTCTTGTTGTTTGCCCGGGATAGGCAGGCTGTGACGAGGTGGGCTAACAAGTAGCTAAGTAATGTCTAATGTAGATTAAGGAGGTAAGCTACTCAGTAGGCACCGATTGGACGTACTATATAATTGAATCTAAATAAGGCCGCCGCTCAGGCTTCAAGAAAGCTACCTCTGCTTGAAGCCTGAGGCAGCCTGAGCCTTATACTGACTTGGAAACTCCTACTGTAGATTAGAGTCACCTCTGAGCTTCGCTCACCCCTAAGCCGCAAACTTCACGAAGAGTTTCCTCAGGGTGAATCCTTTTCCACGGTCCTAGCTCGGATCAAGACAAAATCAGCCGATCAACTACAATTATTCACATGGACCCTGAGAACACGCTAGAGTTGTTCTGACCCATTATTATGCCATATCGTAACGAGCTGTAGTGAACCGTACGGAGCCTGTGAGAGCTCTGCGTCGCCGATCTGGGTCTTGTTCCTCCAAAATGCAGGCCAATTGGGCCAAACCTTGGAGTACATAACTGTCAGCTGGCATTGAAGCCGGGCCTAGTAGGCTAATACAAAAAGAGGAACCAATCCAATGTGGGCAGCATAATGCGCTTGATTGTAAATTGTTTATAAATAGCTATGTCATTCCACGATTGTAGGAAAGCAACATATAACGAATAAGCAGTTTCAGCTCCTATTATTATATATATACACATATAGTTGGAGGCTTTCATTGGGCATTAACAATGTTCAAATGCGTTCAAGCACATGGCTTCAAATTTGCCTGGTGGCCTGGTGGTGCAAGCAGGGAAAGCCTCCTGAATTGCACAAAATCTGGAATCTGATTAATAGGATAGGTTGCATCGTGGGAACCACCTGAACCCAACCAAGAGCGACAAATAATGCAACACCTGCCTGTTGCCCGAATGAATGCGTTTTGTATTGCAGTGCGTAGGCCTTTCCAAGGGTTTTGCTAGCTTAAGAATCGTTTTTATTATTGGTAGCGCACTTAGACACTCTTCCCAGGCTAGAGTCTCCATAGTTGTGCTGTAGGACACCGTGGAACTCCAAAGAAATCGGCGCAAGATCAACTGGTAAAGTTGAGGAACGCCATTGTAGGTGCCTTGGGAAGAACCTCCAGGAAATGCGTGCAAATCGATGAGCACGCGAAGGCCATGCTTTGCACAACGCACTAGGAACTCCGCGAGCCAATCTCTAGGAATCGTCGCAAAGGCGGCTTGGTCCTTGTAGAAAGGATCTGGGACCTCAAACACGGGCACATCGGTAGATCTCTTCACCACTGCACACCCACATCCGGGTTCAAGGCAAGTGTTTGAGAACCCTACAAAGTAATTAGGAGTAATTAGGACCTTACATAGCAATGTCTCAGGGACAATTGTTGTCTCTGTCATAGGGTTGTGTGAGCCATAGATCTTTTGATCCAAAGGCATGAGCGCGTCTGCGAAAGCAGCCCATGTCAAAGGAAGCCGCACCATCTGCAACCCCAACGATGCAATGGCAGATAAGTCCTCTTCACCGATGAAGGCATGTCGATGTGCACTGAAAGCCTTCACCGTGAAGTTATAACCTTACGACCAAGCAATTTATCAGGCAATTCTTTGAGTGATCAAAAATCAGTTTGTCAGGGAAGTTGCAAACACCATAAAACGTATGGAGGGGTTCAACTCATTGCATTAGTTTTTTGTCCTTGTGTCCCAATCACAAAGGACAACGAAGGATAGTTTTGCCAAGATTGGTAAAGCGACCTCTTGTTTGGTTGAGCTGAAAGGTGAGATTCCCTTCAGAATCCCACGGTGTGTTGGAAACGGCTGGAGGTAAACATCGACCTTGACCATGCTCGCTCACAGTGGACACATGAAGGCCACGATCACCAGAATAAAACCAATCCTCTAAGCATAACCACCCTCCAAGGTTGACCCCTGCAAGATGCCCAGGCAGTCCATATGAAATTGGACGGTCTCTTACTCGGGCAGTTTCATCTGTGTTGATGGACTGGTACAGTAGAACCAGCGCCAAGAGCACAGAAGTGCCCAAGCCAAAGCCGAAGATTTGCCGTCGGCATTTCAGAACTTGTCGCAAACGTGGAGTTTCATCATGGTACAAAACCTCTCGCCGTGAATCCGTCCAGCTCATGGCTTGTGAAATTCCACAAAGCTTCCAGCTTCTACGAGCCAAGTATGCAAAATAAGAACACATTTCGCTGTTGGGGTGCATTGTAGGCGATTAATGAACTGAAGTACGCATCCATTCAGTTCTCGATATTTAGCTTGTCTACAAATTAAACCTGTGGCAATTTAGCAATGATCTTTATTTGTCCAGCGCCCGTCCACTCCATTCACCTGAGCTTTGGGCGCTGCCTCCAGAAGCTGCCTCGATAACATATAGTTTGATGATGTTTGCCCAGCCAAACAGCCCGCTACACGCTGAAACGAGAGAGGCAGGCAGCCTGCGCACTGTGGAGGGACAACCAGGGTCAGCAACATGGTCGGTTTTGGGTCAATCTTTTGAGAACCTAACTAAAAAGAATGCACACACACACTGCAATCCATGCTCGCAAGAGCTCTATCAGTTAGAGAATTCCCGGAAGCTGGTTGCTGCATTAGCATTGTGCTGCAAAACACGGAAGGAGACAACTCAAGCTCTACTTACAAACGCGACTCGAAAGCAAGAGTGCAGGTACATCCAGCTGGCCAAGCTGGATATCCCATTTCACTGGTAGCTTCATTGGACACAGTCCCAGTGAAATGCTGTGTCCCCCTGCAGGTCTGTACGCGGTAACGGATTAAAGGTTAAGAGAGGAATTCTACCTAGACGATGGTGTCGTTTTCCTTGGGGACAGGAGGTGACGCACACAATCGCTCCCTTGACTGAAAAACCTGGAAAGAAACGAAAGAACCCTGGAAAGAGAGAAAGCAAGACCGTGCATGAGTTGCATGACATGAAAAGGGCCTGAGTTACGCAAAAAAAACAAGCAACGAGAGAAAACCTAGAAAACGAAGAGAAACAGCAAGAGAGAAAAAACACAACGTCAAAGTGAATACTGAGCCGCGTGAATGAAGGCATACTTAGCCGCATGGTATGTCACCCTACGAGTCGTCGGCAGTAAGCTCTGCAGCATTTGGTCAGCAATCTCGAACAGTCAGCTAATCAGGGAGGTGTCAAGCAAGACGAATGACTAGTGACAATTCCCCCTTGAGGGTCTATGCTCAACGCGCCCCGTAGGGATCACACAACAGACCACAGTGGGACCATGTTGCGAAACACACTTCGATCCACGCCTGCAAGAGCTCTATAAGTTTGAGCTAGTTGCTGCATTAGCACTCTACTGCAAAACACGGAAGGACACAACTCTCTACTTAGAACCACAAGTTGCTTACTGCAGTAGCACTTTGCTGCAAAACGCGGAAAGACGCAGCTTAACCTCTACTTAGAAACACCATTTGAAATCAAGATTGCAGCTACATCCACCTGCCCAATCTGGATATCACACGCGCACAAGCGTCGAGCATGTTGGTAATTCAGGAGTCTCCGACGTGAGTTTTTAATTTGGCTGCACTTTGTTGATAGGTACTGGGGACGATAGCGCTTCACGCTTGAAAGGCTGATGACATAGGCAGACTCATAGGGGGTTACGAGGAAAATGAGAAGGCCGCGTTGAGGTCATGACAGGCTTCGGACAAAGACCTTTTTCCCCAAAAAGTGTGGACGGTCTAACCGAGGTGGTCGCGCATCCGTGTCCGGCTAATTCGCTGCTATTTACATTAATGCCTCTCAAACTCCTAACTGCTCTTCGAGGTTCACAAAGCGCTAAGCGCTACGCCTGCCACGAAATCTGCAGTTCGAAGTAAAACCGCTCCGATCCCTTTTGCACCTGACACTGTCACGAACCGTCGACTTTGCACATGCGCCGCCCAAACTTACACGAGGTTTCCCTTGCGCCTGCCACCAAGAGTGACCACCATATCCGCGACAACCCACAGATTTTGCGAGCCAAGCAGATTTTGCGAGCCTGCGCAGTCGAAATGCACATTTCGTGACAGGCGCAGCACTTTGTGAACCTCGAAGTGCAGATTTCGTTTTCAGGCGAAGCGCTTTGTGAACCTCTCTTTTTGTGAACCTCGAGGTGCAGATGTCGTGGCAGGCGAAGCCGCTTTGTGAAATTCGAGTGCAGATTTCGTGGCAGGCGAAGCACTTTGTGAATCTCGCTTTGTGAACCTCGAAGCGCAGATTTTGTGGCAAGGGCGCACCTCGAAGCGCCGATTTCGAGCGCTTATAGTGAACCTCGAAGCGCAGATTCGTGACGCTGCGTGAACCTCGAAGCGCTGATTTCGCGGCAGCCGCAGCACTTTGCGCACATCGAAACGCAGATTGCGTGGCAGGCGCAGCACTTTGTGAACCTCGAAGCGCAGATTTCGAAACAGGCGCAGCACTTTGTGAACCTCTAAGTGCAGATTTCGTGGCGCTTAGTCCACCCCGAGTCTGGTGATCAAATAATTTCAGTTTTTTGATGATTTCAATGTAATTGAAAATAGATGGTATTTAGCTAAATTGTGGAAGAACAAATTTTCCTACGAAAATTCAAAGTCAAAACAACGTAGAATCAACCGCAACAGTCACCACAAAACAAACACAGAAACAACTAAACAACCAAAACAAAACATTTGTTTAAGAACAAGCCATGTGGTTTTCATGTTGCGTGATAGTTGGCTTTGAAATTGCACATGACGTTGGTTTTCACAGGTAACACACAAGTAACATTGGCTTTGAAGCTACACATGAAGTTGATTTTCACAGGAAACACACAAGTAACATTGGTTTTGAAGTTACACATGAAGTTTGTCTTCACAGGTTACACACAAGTAACATTGCTTGGAACGGTTTCCAACATCAATTTACAAACAATTTCTTTTTGATTTTTCTGGGCTGTGTGAAACCATGTGAAACCCAGCGCTTGCCCTGCAACCACATTAAACGGCGCTCTTTCCAGGCTGCTTTCTTGGAAGCTCGCCAGTGTTTGCTGCCAGCTAGGCAAGACTTCCAAAGGTGCCCTGTGCATGGTGCTTTCACCCTTGTAGAGCCACAGCAAAAATGGGTGAATGTACTTGGAAATTGGAGACTATGTAGTGCAAAGTGTGTCTTCGATGTGACATTCAAACAAGTATGCCTTGCGCTTCGAAGTGTTCACTCAATTGTTTGCGCAGCTGAGCCATAGTCAACCCTGCTCGGAAAACTTTGTCATACTGTGCCTGTGAATTGCCGTGTATCCATATTTAGGCGAAAAGGTTTCCTGTTTTTGTTGAGCTCAAGATTGTATTGCAAAAACAATCTGACACGCGCATGCCGCATGTCACTCATCTCCTGCTTCCATTTGTTCTTGCCAAACATCATCAATGCAGACAGTGTGCCAAACCTATGTCTGAAGCTCTTCCTCGCAGTTTAGGATATCCTTTCTTTGGTCATTCTTCTTTTGGACAAACTACAGGTTGTCCAAAGGCTCACCCTCCAGCAAATAGTACACAAGTAAGTGGTTGACAGAACCAAAAAAGTTGTAACCGTCCTAGATGCATAGTATGCATAAAATCCATGGCTACACATTGGTTACTGAAGCCAAACATGGTGCGCCGTGGCCCTTTGTAATTGCTTGGCATCAGCAGTGATGCTTGCTAGGGGCTGTCTTTTCTGTTATCCCAGTAGGACATGGGTCCTTCAAAAGAAGCTCGACAAAGAGGACACGGCTTTTCGTGGTTGGTGACTCTTGGTGTCTCCAACCAATTGCTGAAGTAATCTAGATCCCCTGCCAGTTGAAGAAGTACTGCGCAGTAGCCTTCTGCCAAATCTTTGCCAGCCCTTCTGGCTTTGACCCCACGCAAATGGTTGGCCCTGCCAGTCCAGCAAAGATTTTTCCCTGAAGGCAATGCAAAAAAAAACTTCATAGTTGTCCAAAACACTTCCATTGTGCCCAAAGCAGACCCAGCTGCTGGAACCACATATTTTTCAAATATGCGCCAAATGTAAAGGTGTGCGTCTTGATAGCCAGGCCGTGGTGGAAAACAATGAAAACACCAGCGCACACTTACACCAGATTTTGCCATTGCCTAAAATTGGCACCTCATCACCATGTAATCCTAGTGGGACGGTCATTTCCAGTTCATAGGTCTTCTTGCCAAGGCGCGTTCCTTTGAAGCCACTAACAAAAGAGCGATTCAAAAGCGAAACTGAAATTCAATGACGCGCGACAACACACACACATATCCTCTATAAAATTGGCACCCAGCCCCCTCAAGGGGGGTATACACCTTAAAACATTTTATGGTGTACGTTGACCCCCCTCATTTTATATATAGAGGAAATGGTCATGGGTATCCTAACAGTAAACTGTGTGGAGAAAAAAGACGTGCCCAATATTTTATTTGGCGGACGCCCGTGTTGTTTATTTAAAAGGTGGAAGGGATAAAACAGGCACTAGTCCGAGCAAGCTTGGCTAGGCTTCTGTGATATTTTTTATCCGTGGGCTCATGACCTAGGTCTTGTGGTTTTTTTGCCTCTTCAGCATTTCAGATTTGAAGGCGCTTCAAGCGGTACTTCCGCTAACACCTACGTCCTTAGCGGCCACTATCATTTGATGCTGGTTCCAGTGTGGAAGTTGGCCTGAATCGCAAAGCCAAACGACGCGACGACTTAATTGCCCCCGAAAGAAAAACTTGAGACAGGGGGGGTGGGCGAAAGGTTAGGAGCGCATTGCTGGTTCCACGATGTTGAAAGCATAGCTTGCCTCATGCTCTACCATGGCCCCTCTGCTCGAAAACAACACCAGTGCTCAATCAAGCACGCTTGAAGCTAGTAAGCCACTAGTACAATTATGTAGTATACAGTAGTACCATGTCTCAGTTTGCCCTGACTAGTCAAACCCATGCGCAGTTCAATTCTGAATTTCAATGACTCTCAAAGCTTACATGCCGTTTGTCGGTCGGTCGGGCTATATAACTATTGATACATGTCTAACAAAACGTTCAATTACCACAACATCTTCACCGCTTTAATCTTCCAAAGTCTGATGACCAGTCTGAGTGCGGGTTGACAATGACCACAGGAAGAGATATCCCCCATTGGCCCTGATATCGACCAGCCCCAGCCCCAACAAACTAAATATTATATTTTCGTCACTCCGCAAGTTGTGCATACGCGAGACTCACTGTTTTCTTCTCGATTGGGGATGCTCACGTGACAGCTCTGCTGTCTATGGAATTTGGAATCAGCATCACACTCAACCACTTACTGTACACGTCGAACCTCTTCAGACCTACTTGCTTAACTGT